ATAAATTATATTATGAAATTTTATCTATCAATCTAGGTTTTTAAGTGAGATAATCTTTGGATACTGAGATCTTCATCAGAGGTATGCTTGTTTTCTTTCGGCTACTGACACCAACATGCAGATCATAACCACAGAATTTTGATGCTCATTGGCCTCTTTTGCGGTGGATATACATCTGGTGAATGTTGTCACGTTCATGCATGCCTCGCTTGCCCTCCAATGATTATTAAGACTAATTAACTCGGTTGCTTGTCGTCTCGAACTAGTTGAAAACACCAGTCAGAGTTTGAAACCATACATGCCTATGCATGAGATTGGTCCGAGGTTAATCTGATACGAGACGACGTGTTGCATGGTCCTATCCTGGTTAGTTAATATTTCTCTTTACTTTTTCCAACTCTTTGTGCCAGGAGGGAGCTAAAGATTTCACATGGTCCTTTTGGCCAATCAACATGTATTGATCATATCATTGGAAATCAAAGTTCCTTTTTTAGCCTGATCCTTTTGGCCTAAAGGTGCTTAACAGGGGTAAAGCTTATGTTGGTGAATGATTAGGTCATTTTGGAATTCTTTGCAAAGCATTTTTCATTTTGGATAATGATTTGATATACTAATCTTCCTACACTTATTTTCATATATATATATATATATTAGAATTTTTTTCTTATTATATTTTCTTAATATTTAGCATTATTTATGAACATCAGTTTAAAATTGGTTGTTTAATTATATATGTAGAAGCTAGCTAGTAGTATCAAGTACGAATGAAATAGCCAAGGAAAAGGAAACAAGATATTGATGAATTTAATGCTAATCAATTGGTGCGGATGTCACTAAATTTTGCCTTTAATTATCAAGTGCTAGAATAGCTATTAATTGCCACAATTTTTTTTTTTTTTCAAGACAAGCACCAGCTGGCTCATGAGTAGGAGAAATGACCAGCTGCCTTTGACCTTTTATTCATGAATAGATCCGATCCAGTTTTTTGGGGGTCAATATTCACTTATAAATTAAACCCTAGATATGGACTTGTTTTTCCATGTATCAATATGGTGGCAGCTGAGGTTGAATAGCGGTCCCAAGAAAGCAGCTTTATTCATGAAGTTAGTTCCTTTCGCGAACTGTATTCTACTAGCCAGTAAATTATTTCAACACAGGCATCAAATAGTTTCCTGAGAAAAAGCCCTTGCCTCTGCATCCATAGAATACTTTTTCTAACTGTTTTACTAATTAAGGAGAAAAAAAAGGGGGAGAAAAGGGAACATCAAAATAACTATAGATGCACCATTTTGTCTAGTTTCTATGGTCCAGATATATGAAGTTAGCCTTTTCGATTTGTTATGTAAAATTTCACGTGTCTGCAGGCAGCTATTAATTATGATGTGTAGTTATCACCAATTCAGAAAGAAAGCACCTTTAATTAATGGACAAGAACATATTCTTCAATTTCAAAGAGAAAGACTGAGGAGCTATGCATGCTGCATGCAGTGACCTAGCTCTCTGTCTCATATATCTCTTTCGCTCTTCTGGGCTCTATGTGTCTTCCGACTCTTCCCTCCTCCTGCTCCTCCTCCTTTCTACCGTTATCCTTATACGTTTTGGTCTACCAAATGATACTCTATATTTTATGGAGCAGTTCTAGTGCGACTACACAGTACCGACTCCCTCTTAGACCTGAGCCCCACATACTATACGATTTCAATAAGCCAACCCTAATTATTAATAGACTCACTCTTAGACCTCAGCCCCAGTAGGAATTGAACAGGGCAACCCACATAGGGGAGAGTGTGAGAGGGAGAGAGGAAGAGAGACAGCTTTCTTCTCGCTGCCACTGCGCTGTACTGCAAGTTAATTAAGGTGCAGGAGAATAGGGGGTGAAACAATAGGATGAGCCCAACAACTTACTTTCTTTCATAGGCTGTGTGTGTCTTTTATTGGGTGCAATAACAGATGGCAGGTTTTTCATGTACTGGACTGTGGTTGCATGACACCTCTTTTTAGTACTGCCTGCCTCAGGTCGCTTCCTATATATAATATAATCTGTATATACGAATCATATACTATGGTTTCCCCCATAAGCCATATACGTGTACATGAACTACTCCAAATAGTTAATCAATTGCTGATTAATTTAGATAAGTCTTATTTGCACCTAAGCATGAACAAGATCATGAACCTTTCAATATTGCTATATATATGAATCGATGTCACTAGCTAACTCGTTTCCAAATCAAGAAGATAGTTTATACACGTATTAATTAGATGGAACAAAGTATGCTAATGAGCAACACGTAAGGTAGGTCATCCCTCGTCCCCTCCCATACGTAATTATCCGCATAAAGAAATTTATACCCATTGCGTTTGAGGTGCATTTGGGGATGCTCAATTTATAGAGTTAGATAGTTGCAATTAAGTTTTATTCAAAAGACTTAAGCTTTCTTGTTAACTTTATATGTTAATCATTTTTTATTTAATTATTCAATGTGGAATACGTGCTCTAATACTTTCCCTCACTTGTAATCCATCGGTTGTTGGATCTCTTTGAGGCTCTAATACCATGTTAAATAATCACTTTGCGCTTGAAATTTCCACAAACCCACACTACCTTATGCTTAATTAATTAGAAGAGAAAGTGAGAATGGTAAGATTCAAACTCACGACCGTTTGGTTATTAAGGCTCGATACCATATAGAATAGTTGAAATTGAGTTCCATCCAAAATACTTAAGTCTTGTGGTGGATGGTCTCTTCTTAACCTTATATGTTAATTATCTTTGATTTAATTATTCAATGTGGGATATGTGCTATAACACCAATAATCAATGAATTAAACCACAATGAGTGAATTAATGGTAAGATTTTGGATCTTTTATCACGAGGTTTAGAGTTTGAATTTTACTTTTTACTTCTCTTTTAAGTCAGTAAAGATTGATGTGGATGAAAGTTCATAATATAAGACACTATACAAATTCAAGCACGACGGTGTTGCTCTGTCTAGTTAGCGAGCGAGGGTTAAAAGAACAATGCTTCTTATAGGGGCTTAGGGATAGAGCTTCCGAAAGGTTTGCAAAACATTGAGTTAGATGTATAGGTACGTTAGATTTTTTTTTCTTATAACTCTAGTTATTCATACTATAAATAGAGGTAACATCACTTGTATTTGAAGCCGTTACTTGACAAAACATAATAAGAAATTCTAATGTAGTCGTAGAGTAAACACCATTATCGAACTACATAAAATCTTTATTTTATGTGATTGTTCTAATTTTTATATTCTATTCTTTTGCTTGATTTGTTTCTTAACCGTATCCTCATCGCTATCACAAAACTTAATTAAGATTGTTTCCTCGATTTCAAGAATGTGAGAGCTTGTAATCTCTAATTTAAAACCAACCTATATCCACAAAAAAAATTCACGTGTGATCTGTTTTGAGTTATTGAAATTTTAAGGTAATTAATTATACCAACTTATAGATATACACAAAGGAGTACAATTGTTTGCATTTTTTTTTATTATGTATATAATTAACCCATGTGGAATTTTTCTGCATTAGTTCCGATATTGCAGCTATTATTGAGTTGAAAAGTCCAACGATTATATAACAAAATGAAAAAAAACATGAGTTTTTAACAAGAACGAAAAAAAAGGTATTGTAAGTAAAAAAATTGATAACCACGTTTGATGTAGTTATTTTTATCTTACATGTATGTGTTTAATTGGTTGAGATTTACGCATTTAATTGTTGAATTGTAAATCTTGAACGGATGTAAATTTTTCAGCCTATGCATTTACACAATTACTTCTTTTTTTCTTTTTTTTTTGAAAAAAAGGATAAATTATAATAATCCTTTTGATATATCATGAAATTATAATATCCACCTAAAAAATTAAAAATATTACAAATTTCTTCTTAAAGTTAAGAAAAACGATTTAAAAATATAAACAATTATCAAAGAATCATCTCAATCTAAAAGTTTAAACTATTAAGTGAATCTTAAGATATGATTTATATTATTTTTTAATATACTCTTTCAAGTGAAAGTCATTTGTCCTTAAAATTCGCACGTACTTACACTATTTTGTGCTTAATTAATTAAAAGAGAAAATGAGAATAATGAGATTCATGCGAGTTCACATGAATTAACGACTATTTGATCATCATAGTTTTAATATCAAACTACAAAATATGATTTATATTATTCTCTCGACAATAATATTTTAGATTTAAAATAAATTTTTTGTAATATTTACTTAAAATTGAGAGGGGTTTTTTTTCGTGGTTTGAGATGATCATTGTGATCTCCATGATAATTTAGGAAAAGTTTTTGTAGTTTACCCAAAAGAGAAAACGTAAGACCTGAAAATTGATCAGTATATATATATATATAATGAGCGTATGCATATGTGTAGATACAGAGGGTAGAGGCAGAAGTAAAAGGGTAGTTGAGTACTGATCAGGACGACCTAGCTTGGCGTGAGAAAGGGAAGGCATAATGTCAGTTTAGGAAGCGGCAAGCAGCTGTTCTCAGTCTTATTTAGACGGGACCACATGCATATATAGAAAGAGCTTGTTAGACATTTGATTCCTTTCCAAAATCTCTCTTCAAAATAATTTCAGTATTGCCACGCCATGCCATCTTCTTTCTTCCTTTGGCAACCGACAGCATGCACACTCTCTCTCTATATTAGACACACACACATCACCTTCGTCTGCAATCCCCAAAAGTGAAGTAGAAATGAGCTGCAACAACCTTGCAGTTTCTTCACTTTGTTGCACCCTAAAAGAGTATCTAGAGAAAAAAGGAAATTAACTCTTTCTTTTGCCCACGCCTCCTCTCCTCTCTTCTCCTCTCTGCCACCGCCAATCATCGTCTTTCTTTCTCTCTCGTGGTCCTTCTATATTTCTATTGACCAACAAGTATAACACAAACATATATACAAATTAGAAAGATTACTAGCTAGCTAGGGATCATTATATATATATATGAACATGGATTGGAATGGCAACGTAATAAATTTTGTTTCTCGACAAGATCAGACTTCCTTTAACTTCCTCTACAACTATAACTATGACCTGCAGTATCCAGGTACGTAATAGTATTTTTTTAACCTTCATATTTTTAGTAGAGAGATTTCCTCACCACTGGGAAAAACTGCATGCCTATATTCACTAATTAACCCAATCATACAATCTGCACACACACACACACACACATATATATATATATATATTGACCTTTCAAATTAAAGCATGCATTGCATGGAATGGAATTAAGCAAAAGCAATTAAGCTTCAACCATTAATCCAAACAATATCACTGGTAATTATTACTACCAATATATTATTATCATGACTTGCCCGGCTACCTACCTATATATACATCATTACGTAATGCTGATCCTATGATCATATATTAATGATTAGCAAGTGATTGTTTCTCATATTGAAAATAAAAATGTTGTCTCTTTCAGGCATGGACGTGAAGCACCAAGGATTATTAGCAGAAAGCGCACCAAACGGCTTGGTCCCAACTGGTGTGGACAAGATGATCAGCTGTGGGAGTCAAGAGAAGAAAAAAGATTGGCAAGTGAACAGTTAGAGTCATTGGAGAAGAGCTTTCAAGAAGAGATTAAGTTGGATCCTGACAGGAAAATGAAGCTGTCTCGTGAACTAGGGCTCCAGCCCAGACAGATTGCTGTTTGGTTCCAGAATAGACGTGCTAGATGGAAGGCTAAACAGCTTGAGTGCTTATATGATAACCTTAAGAAGGAGTTTGATTCTGTGTCTAAAGAGAAACAGAAGCTTCAAGAAGAGGTTGGTCATGTCATGTCATGTCATGCATATGTATTATTTTACCTTTTTTCCATTTCAAGGAACTGCAAGTAGTACAGGAACCGCCTTTCCTTTTTCTTCTCATCAACACCCACCTGGACTCCAAAATTAATTAGAACCTGAACCTCCCAACTTATATGTGGCATATATAATATTCAATAGACCTTAATTAACAGAAGAAATTAAACATAGATATTCATTAATTAATATACAGGTTTTGATTGTAAATTTTAATCATTAATTGTTAGTTGGTTATGGATATGTCAGGTAATGAAACTGAAAGCTGTGGTGAGAGAACAAGCCACGAGGAAGCAAGTTTCAACAACAGAGTACACAGAGATATCAGGTGAAGAGACAGTAGTAAGCACATCAGTTGCTGCCGCAAGTCGCAAGGCACGAGGAAACAGTCACCACCAGATCAATGCAGACCACCACAACTATCTTCTTAACGTGGATGAATACAACCCAGCTTCATCTCCCTACTGGCCTCTTTTGCCATCTTATCCTTAATAATCAGTAGTTAGTTACCTACTCCATAATACTTAATCTGGCTAGCTGTTTTGATCTATATATGAAGAACGTTGTTCATAATTAATTATATCAGGGAGTTGATTGGTTTAGCTTATAATTTAACCTTTAATTATGACAATGTTAATTAACTTGCCATTTTCTGTTAACTATTCATCCACATGATCACTGATTATTGTTAAGTTACTAGGGTATCTACTATTACTCAAAATAATCGAGCTATATTAATCAGTCTATTGTTGTTTGTGCGTACATTTATTAGAAATGATCATTTATTTGTTGGCAAATAATTATTAATATTATTTTTTTTTTGTGGGTCCTTAATTATATATTATCTGTTAGAAGCATAAGTAAATAATTAGACCTTCCAAGTTCAAGCAATAATAGTGAGGATCATGCATGAGTGCTACAATATCCTTCAAGTAAATGAAAAGGTAGATGAATTGGAAACAGCATCAGAGATTTGCATGCGTATGCAACAAAGGAGACAATTCACTGTATCAATGGCCCCACCCACACACACACACATACACAAAAAAACAGACACGAAGTGTGGAAAGATTGAGTTTAGCTTTTGGATGAAGAGTGTCCAGTACATCTGTATTCAAATGGAAAGTTCGTGTGGAGATGTTAGATGAAAAATATGACTTCTCTGGCGGCAATAGAGACATGGGTCATGTCCTCTGGGAATGTTACATAATCATTCCATGAAATAAAATTTCATGTTGATCATGTTTCCATCTTGGAGTTATGGCTAATCCATACAAAATTCCTTTCAACTATAAGCGACACAACACAAGAAGTTCTGATTGACACCCATTAAGAATGATTGACGCCCATTTTTGTTGCATTTGTTCATTTTTTAGTGTGTTACACTTTTTTTGTTATAAAATGTTTTAAGAATTAAAACAAAGTTGATAGATGACGCCCATTTTTGTTGCATTTGTTCATTTTTTAGTGTGTTACACTTTTTTTGTTATAAAATGTTTTAAGAATTAAAACAAAGTTGATAGAAAAAAATAAAAACATTAAACAATCAACATCCTATTGATAATATCATAAATTATCATTAAGAAATCAACTTTCAACTATCACTACACCAAAAAGAAAGATTTGTTAGGAAAATTTAACGACGGTCTAAAAACTGTCTCTAAATAACGAAATTGGAGACAACTTGAAGAAATTTTACGAGGGAAAAAAAATAATTTTAGCGACCGTTTTTTATGACGGACTATGTTAACCGTCGCTAATAATTAAATGTAAGCAAATTTGCGATGGTTTTTTTTAGCTAGAACCATCGCAAAAATTCAAATATAAGTCCGTCGCTAATCCCATCGGGAAAATCCTTTTGTTGGAGGGAAAACGACTATTTTTAACCGTTTGCGATGAATTTAGCCACGAACCGAAGTCCGTCGCTAAAAAGAAACGCCTTTTTAACCCACTACTCGCATTTCTTCTCCCATTTTTCTCTTCTTCCTCTCTTCTTCTCCCTGCACTTTCCATCGCCGATTTGCCCCTTTTTTCCTTCATTTTGCTTCCAATCTACTCCTCTCTCTCGTCCTTCTCTTTCTCCCCTTTCTCTCCCTTTTTTCCTTCATTTTTTCTCTCTTTCTTCCCCTTCTTAAACCTTCGGGATTCCGGCCAACCCACCTCCGACAAAGCTCCTCCACCAGTCGCAACCTCCTATCCTCTTTGTGTGGGTGAAAGGTCCTCCCTCATTTAACCCCTCAATTAATTTTTTAATTATTTGCATTTTTTTCATAATTAGATGTTAAATTATTTTTTAATTTAATTGTTAATGTTAATGATAATTGTTAGTTAATTATGTTATTGGTTAGTGTTAATTGTTAATTGTGTTATTGGTTAGTGTTAATGGTTAATTGTGTTATTGGTTAATTTTTATTGTTAATTTAGTGTTAATTTTTTAATTGTTATTGTTAATTTAGTGTTAATTATTAATTTAGTTAATTTAGTGTTAATTTTTAATTGCATTATTGTTATTGGTAATTTTTAATTTAGTTAATTTATTTGTAATTGTTAATTTAGTTAGTTTAAGTGTTAAATAAATGTAATTGTTATGAATTTGTGTTAATTGTGTTAGTTTAATTATTTAATTGTTAAATAAAAATTTGATTGTTGTTGTTATTAGTTTCATTGTTAATTTGTAAGCTTAATTGGTAAATTTTAATTGTTAATTAAGTAAGTTTGTTGTCAAATATTGTTAATTATTAATTTAGTTAGTTTAATTTATGGTTTTTGTAATATTAATTAATTTTAAAAATTGATAATCATTTTATAAAAAAATTTAGCAATTAAAAAATTATTATTTTTCTAAATAATATTTGGTAATTGGAAAATTAATTAGTAATTTATTTATTTAATTAGTTGTTGATTAAGTGGAGTAAAGTAATTACAAAATTAAGTAGGTATTAAAATTTTTAATTATTTGTAAATTATATTTAGTTATATAAAATATAATTAGTGATTAAGTTTATTTATTTGTTGATTAGATTTAAAAAAGGAATGAAATTGTTACATAATTAATTAGTGATTAAAAAAATAAATATTTTTCAAAATCTAATTTATTTTTAAAAAAATTAATTAGTAATTAGGTTTAATTGGTTAATTTAGTTAATAATTAAGTAAATCACTTGGTAATTAATTTAGTTAATAAGTCAATAATATATTTCAATAAATTAGTTGTTCATTAAGTGAAGCACTTAAATAATTAAAATTTTAAATAGTTATAACAAATTTTAATTATTTGTAAAATATGTTTAGTTATAAAAACTTTAATTAGTTATTAAGTTTATTTATTTGTTGATTAGATTAAAAAAAGGGAATTAAATTGTTACATAATTAATTAGTGATTAAAAAATAAATATTTTTCAAAATCTAATTTAGTTTTTAAAAAATTAATTAGTAATTAAGTTTAATTGTTTAATGTAGTTGATAATTAAGTAAATCACTTGGTAATTAATTTAGTTAATAAGTCAATAATATATTTCAATAAATTAGTTGTTCATCAAGTGAAGCACTTAAGTAATTACAAACTTAAGTAGTTATAACAAATTTTAATTATTTGTCAAATATGTTTAGTTATAAAAAATTTAATTAGTTATTAAGTTTATTTATTTTTTGATTATATTAAAAAAAGAATTAAATTTTAACATAATTAATTAGTGATTAAAAAATAAATATTTTACATTATCTAATTTAGTTTTTTAAAAAATTCATTAGTAATTAAGTTTAATTGGTTAATTTAGTTAATAATTAAGTAATTAAATCACTTGGTAATTAATTTAGTTAATAACTTAATAATATATTTCAATAAATTAGTTGTTCATTAGTAATTGATTGATTGATAAATAGTAAGTTAATTTAGTAATTAAGTTATTAAAAATATTTATAATTTTTATTGATTAGATAATTAATTAGTAATTACAAAATTAATTTAGTTTAAAATGAATTCAGATCGTTCATGGATTGACTTTAGATTAATTAATGGACTATTAAATGAGCGTTTCGTTCATGGGATTAATGAATTTATTAATTTTGTCGTTAATCATGCAGAGTGTATGGATGAAAATAAGATACGATGTCCTTGTAAACTTATAAAATATCAAAATCGTAGTTATCTTGAACCTAATACTCGTTAAGTATCATTTGATGCGATATGGTTTTATGTCCGGGTGTTATGTATGGAGACGTCATGGAGAGAATGATTCGGTCATTTATGATGACAATTCGATTAATTATGTTCAACAAGAACAAATATTTGATGATCCTCGAGTCAATCGATACCACACAATGTGAGAGATACAACTAGCCCATTATTTAATCCGTCTAAACGGATAAAAACCCAAACTCTAATGCCCAAAAATTTTACAATTTGTTAAATGCATCGAATAGAGAAATATGACCTAGTTCAAAAAATCATTCACGGTTATCCACGACGTGTCATTTGTTGCATCCGAAGTCCGAGCATCATTTCTCATAGAGGTGTTACGATGACTTATATTGACTTATGAAAGAGTTAATGCTTGTCGATAATCGCATGCCGGAAAACTTTTAAAGTACAAAAAAATGATGGGTTTATCCATTGAAAAGATCTATAGTTGCATAAATGGTTGCATGATTTTTTGGGGTGAAGATAGCGAAAGAATCATTTGTAAAATACATAAGCATCCTTGATATCGAAAGCCTAAACGAGGATTGGTTAGAGAAACATATGTCCCGTATAAATAATTGTATTATTTTCCCCTAACGCCATTATTACGGAGGATGTATGCATCGACCGCCACTGCTCGACGACATGACGTAGGATGCGCGACATGTAGTTGAGTCAAACATCTTGCGTTATTGTTCGGACTCCTATGCATGGCGATATTTTGACCAAACACATCCTTCATTTGCATCGGAAAATTAAAAATGTCAAATTAGGTGTTTACACCGATGGGTTTCGACCTTTTGGTCAAACTGGATAACAATATTCTTCGTGACCTATAATTGTAACGTCTTACAATTTGCCACCTTAGAAATGTATGAAAGAAGAATATATATTTTTAACCGTAATTATCCCGGGTCCTCAAAATCCTAAAGTCAATCTAGACGTATACTTACAACCCCTAATTAAAAAGTTGATTGAATTGTGGAAAATAGGTGCTTTTACTTATGATGTGTCCCGTAAGGAGAATTTTTGTATGAGAGCTTCATTCATGTGGACAATTAGTGATTTTTTTTGCATACTTAATGTTATCGGGTTGGAATACTGCAGGTAAGACGGCATGTCCATATTGTATGGAAAATTATGATGCTCTCGGCCTCCGTAACGGCAGAAAGACATCATGGTTTGATCTTTTAGGCAAAATAGGAACACATTCAAACGAAATTCTATTGTTACGGACATTGCTCCTCCGATCAAGTATGAAACGGATGTTTTACAAGAATTACACCATTTGGGGTTGTTGAAAGTAACGGAA